TTAAAATCTCCCCACCCCCGGCCTCATCCCATGTCCAACCCTCCCTCTCATCCCCTCCTCCTTGACCTGACACAACCTGTCCATCTTCTCTCCCACCTATCTGCCCCACCCATCCCACTGACCAATCCCCACCACTCCCTACCTGCACTCACCTATCACCATCCCACCTACCTTTCCAGCTCCACCCCTCCTCTCTCTATTTATTTCTGAGCTCCCTTCCCCCTCCCCATTTCTGAAGAAAGGTCCCGACCCAAAACGTCAACTTGCTTGCTCCTCTGATGCTGCTTGGCCTACTGTGTTCCTCCAGCTCCACACTGTTGTTTGTGATGACATTGTACCTGTTTTTCAAAAAAAGAATTTGAGCCAGTTTAGGGAAAGAAAATGGCAGAACAGTCAAGGTCTGGACGCAGGTAAGGCTTTTCAATATGCGGGATTAGTTCAACAAATCATAATAGAACAATTGGTGTTAGTGGTATCGGCAAACAGTATTCAGGGGAAACCACACTCCACTGAGAATGTCTTTACTGAACTCTTTTATCCTACTGGATGGTGTTAGATTCAAGTGTATGGCTGTTTTGACTGGAGTTTCTCTCTTCAATGCTTCTATAGAATGAGTGAATCTGTGGAGGCCAAGAACTTTTGCCCATGATTTGCTTGTTTTCAACTGAATGTGAACCTTTTGGGCCTTCCCACCAGAGCTTTTGAATCAGGAGGAGGAGCTGCTGGGAAGGCAGCAGAGACTCGCACAGGTGAAGAAGTTAACAATGCAGGAGTGTGTAGGTATTTGGAGAATGAATACATACTTGTATCTCAAGGAACAACAGTGCATCAAGGCAGTCACATCCAGATTATTGTCTTGTGTGGCCGGTAAATCTTTATACCTCCAACAAAAAAGACAATTTTCATGTATTGATTGGGTCCAGAAAGGATAATATTATCACTGTGGTTCAAGTTTTAGTGTGTTCCATTGCATTGTGATTTGGAGCTCAGTACCAGGCTGTGACAGTAAAGATCACCATGTCTGTCACTTTTTTTATGCCTCTAGCTTCTTCCAAACCGGTTCAGGTGATATAAGCAACATCGGTCACTTTTCTGAGACATAGCTGGTCAAGTGGCAACAGTTCATTACTAACCCCACAGAGGATGCTTGCAAGGGAAGAAGAGCTGGAGACTTCACAATGCTGGCTTTCTGCAACTAGCAGCTAAATTGCAAGCATGGCTCTCTGTCTGGTCTCCCTCGTAATAAGCCTGATTTATTTTTATTATTGACAGCAGGGCCTTCCATTCACTCTGTGTCAACTTGTTTGTGATCAGTATGTCATACAAATCTGTGCCTCATTCTCCTGGCAATACTCATAACTCTTCAGTTTTGTACCTGGTCCTCTATCCCCTCTGCTGCACCCTTTAGGTGGCAAGTTGGATGCTGGGATCAAGGGTTATTCCTTCCCACCAGCTGGCTCCTGAAACCTGTCAGGAACGAGGGCACAGATGCTGGGATAACCAGGATTCCACTTGAACGAACCATTAGTGCCCTGAAACTTTGGTTCCACTCTCAGTATAGCTCATGGTGTTGGAACAGTGTGGAATGGGTATTAAGAAATCTTATTGTTTGCTGCATGATTCTTGCTGTCAAAAGAGAAGTTATTTTAACAGCTGGGTGAAGAAGTGGAGCATACAGCAGCAGAAAAGACCCATGAGGTATTGAGAGGAGATTTTCCCGAACAATCTCTCTCTGCTGCCCAGATTATTCCTTCTTCTGTTTGGTGCATATGGGTACCTCCTATATCCTCACAGTGCAAATCCATGGCTGTTCCTAACTGAGTAACTAAGATTATGAAAACTGATCGCTGTACAAAATTTTCACTGCCAATGTTTTTGATTTTACAAAATGATTGATGGCTTCATATTTACTATTCAATCAAGACTGTCCCATGTGTAGCTTTTACTAGCTCTGGAGTTGTTATTTCTCAATGCCTACAGCTTGAGAGATAGAAGGCTGCACAATCTCCACGAAGCAAACTTGAAATGGCCATGGAGGGTAAGCTCAAGGAGCTCTTGGCTTTTTAACAACGCCCCATCAGTCTCTAACTACAGATGCTTGGCATTTAGCTTTTGCTGGGGCAGTCTTGTTAGTCTGCCTGCCCAAAGGGGCTGTGAACGTCCTGGAGAGGAACAGCAGGATGCCTATCATTCACTGGTAGGGCACTGACCCTCAACAAGCCTTCAACTCCCCCCCACCCCCCAACCCCGGGGTGTGCCTGGACAGAGTGCAGCCGAGATCAGGAGGTTGACGCATTGAGTTGGAAACATGCCTGCGGCTCCAGAATGTACTTATCTTTATTCCCAGCTTTCATTTAAATGTGACAAATGTTTTTGGAAGTCTAAATATACCACATCATAGAGTTTTCCGTAGATCCCTTGGGTTGTCACTTCCTCAAAGAACTGGGGAAGATTTATTTAACTTTGGACTTTTATTCAAAAATTGCAGATATAATTTTATACTGTGGCTGCTCCATGTACACTTGCTGTGAACTTTTAAGTGCGATCCCAGCTGGATTTGAATAAGCAAAGGCCCAGTGCAACACATTTGAACACGCATAATTCAAAATTGAAATATGACAAGCAAAGAAACTGTTTTAACCCAAGGCAGCAGTTTTCAGATGATGCTGCTTCCTGCTGTGCTAGCTAAGAGTGAATAGGGAAAGACATTCCAATGATGCTGGATGTCCCATAGCTGGTTAACCTTCGGTAGGGGGTTAATTGGCTCAGGGCAAGACTTACGCCCTCATTAGGGGAGGAAGCTCTGTCTCAGAGAGTTGTGGGTCAAGCAGATAACAAACAGTCCAGTGGTCCCAGTGATGCCAGTTTTGATTAGTGGTCGCTTCTGGGACTACAGTCAGGCACTGAAGAAAAGGGGTAAATGGATACCAGACAACAGGTACGTTTGGGATATTGGTGGGATCTGGTTGGCACCCCAGCAAGCAGAGTGAGGGGCTCGGGGGCCAGTAAGAAGAGGCCTGTGGGGAAGGTAAAGGGGGATGTATAACCATGTGCAAGTGTCTCCAATGGACCAAGGGCCCCCCCACACACATCAAGGTACTTTGCCTAACAATAACCTGCGAGTGAAGATTCTCAGACTTCCGACTGGGCAAGCAAAATAGCAGGGCTATGATTAAAAACTTCAGCTGGCATTCAGTGATTACTTCAAGGTTCAGTAGACCCAAGGAGACGGTTGCTGCCCGATGCACGTATCGCCCTGCGGAAAATCAGAGAGAAGGTGGGATCGGGCGGAAAGGCCACAGACCTCAGTCCAGACCGCCCTCCTGCCTTGGTGTGGGAACGTAAAATGCAATCCCTCAGATGCGGATTGAAGAGCACGGAACGCTGATAGTTTTGTTGCCCAGCCGGACTTGGCAGAATCTTCAGATTGGCAGGACGGGATCTCACTGTTTGCTCTGGGATCTGTGCCTTGTTTTGGTTTGCATTTTGCGCAGCTGATGAGAGCAGGCACTAGGGGAATGATATCAAAGTCTACCAATTATGACAAACTGAGGAAGATTGAAGGAGAAGAGTTACAGTTTAAAACAATGGGAAGGGAGGTAGCTGACAATGGTCGATGCAAAGACAGGTAGCCATCCTGGTGTAAACTGACAGGATCAAATGTCTAAATTACAACTTGCCTGATTTTGACTCCTGATGGACTCATCCAGGCTGGGTGTAATTAGACTAACTCTCACTCCTCGCGTCTTTTGTTTTGTTCCGCTATTGATTTCCCTCTTTAGACGCATTTCAGCACACTGCTTGACCAAGGCTTGTGGCATATTCCATTCATTTACTTGATGTTGAAGTCATTCAGATAACTGAAAAATTCACGGGCTGACTTTGAGCGGTATGGATGTTCCAGTTTTAATTTATGAGCAGGAATTTCCTTGGAGCTGTGTTCGTTCTGCGTTCGGACCTTTGCCAGATGTGCTGCAGAAATCCCGTTTACACATGTAACAGAAATAGCATTTACATGTGTACGGTGAAATCTCCAAGGAAATTCCTGAGTAGATGTGATCTATATTCTCCTGTTCATCAGATAATTTAACCATCCCTTCGTACTGACTTCCCCTAGAGAAAACTACCATGTACAACCAATCTAAATCAGTAATCATTTGCAAGTAAATATTGGTAATATGATCGAGCTATTTAATGTAACTTAGAGACTCATGTAGTCATGTATATTCTATTTTATTCTATAGCCTGACCAGTTGCTCCAGATAAATATAATTCAGTCTTGAGGCACAGATTCCCTAAAGTTTTACTCTATTTCCAGTTGCAATACTATATTGGTTTTCTGAACTGTTTTGAGAGGAATTGCTGCAATGTGGGAGGTACGAGAAATTATACAAAGACTTAGAAACAGATTCATCAAATAGGTCCAAAAACAACAGTGAATGATATAATTGCCGATCAGCGTGATTGTTTTTACTAGTCTTGGAATTCTTGAAGTAAGAAGAGATGTTGCAGCTGCCAGGATATGGACAACTGGTCACACATCACTGGGTGACTATTAAATAAGATCTTGAATTCTTTTTATTTTAATTATATCTGTATTTCCACATAGTATCTGCATGTTGTCCCTGACTCTGTTTATTACTTCATGCTACTTGGTTTGAATGAACATATAATGAATTGTATAAGGACTAAGAAAACATGAAAAAAAATACTTTCCTGTCACTAATGATGTTGGTTCATCAAAATTAACTGTTCTCAATTTCCATGGGGATTGTCCTAATCTCCTGCCTGACAGGAAATGGATGTAACACCCAGAGAATTAGTGTAAAGAGGAATTCCTTCATGGATTCTGCTAATCTGCAGCCAATGTTGCAGCAGGTGATCAGGGAAAACACTAGTAGAAATTCAGAGCCAGTCTCTGAAGGCCTTTACAAATATGCATGCTGTTATTCCAGAGTGCTCACAAATAGGGCATGCAGTAAGCTTTAATTGTCTTCCAGGATTTGCAAGTTACTGCTGGGAAGCTGATGGTGTACAGTCAGAAACACTGGCCGGAAAATGTTACGCACACCAGAATGGTTGATCAGGTGAGTGATTACTTTTTGGAATAATGATCCCGATGTTGCTATTGGATTTGTTTGATCTGCTGCTGTGACTTGTGACAGGAGATCGACTTCCGAGAAATCGCAGTTTACAGCTGTTTATGTATTTTACACTGAGATTACCCCTGCAGAAAGTGAAGCTCATCACTGCAATCCCAGCATGAACTCAGTTATTTGCTGGAGTTGCTGTATGCCTCACTTTGCTACAAAAGTGTGCAAACTGTCCTGGCAAACTCCAGAAGTTATGCATTCATTCAAACATAATATGCCACAGCCCACTAGTCCCTCCCCTGCCAGTTCTACTGAACTCCATGTTACTCCTATAATACTCCTCCAACAAAACAATTAGACCAAGTCCTCTCGCTTCTACTGAATCCTAGGAAATCCTAAGGTTGTCAAAGGATACAGTGGGATATAGATCAGTTGCAGACATGGGCGAAGAAATCACTGGGTAAGTGTGAGGTGCTGCACTTTGTGGAATCAAATGTTAAGTAAAAGTATACAGGTAATGGCCAGGCCCTGAACAGCATTTGTATAGAGAGGGATTTTGGGGTTCAAGTCTAAAGGTCCCTGAAAGTAGTCACACAAGTAGATATGTGTATAGCATACTTGCCTTTATTGATCAGGGAATTGAGTCAGTAACAAAAATAGAAATTCCTGGAAAAGCTCAGCAGGTCTGACAGCATCTGTGGAGAGAAATCAGGGTTAACCTTTTGGATCGAGTGACCCTTCCTCAGTCAGGATGTCATGTTGCAGCCACAATTCTAGTCGCCACATTACAGGAAGGATGTGTGACTTTGAAGAGGGAACAGAAGAGGTTTACCAGGATGCTGCCTGGAGCTATGAGGAAGGGCCAAAAAAACTAGGGTTGTTTTCTCTGGTGGAGGCTGAGGGGAGACTTGATAGAAGGCTATAAAATTATGATATGCATAGATAGGTTGACGGTCAGAATCTTTTCGCAGAGTTGAAATGTCTAATACAAGAGGGCATGCATTTGAGACGGGGAGGGGGGGAAAGTTCAAACGAGATGTGAGGAGTAAGTTTTTTACACAAAAAGTGGTAGGAGTCTGGAACACGCTGCCAGGGGTGGTGGTGGAGGCAGATACGACAGGGGCATTTAAAGTTTTAGATTAGCACATGAATATGCAAGGAATGGAGGGATATAGATCAAGGGCAGGCAGAAGGGATTAGTTTAATTTGGCGTCATGTTCAGTACAACATTGTGGGCCAAAGGGCCTGCTCCTGTGCTGTACTGTTCTATGTTCTAATTTCTTCTCCTGATAGCTGAACCCATCATACCAGTCCTAAAGCTCCTGTGTTACCTGCTATGTTCCTGTGTGTCTTTCTCTTTGAAATTTAAGTAAGGAATAAAAATTAAACACGATGAAAGAATGTCAAATTGTAAAGGCCACTGTTAATAGATATCACAGAGATAGAGAGATTTGTATAATCCCAAAGACTACTAAATAACAAAGTGCCCTGGTACATGGATCACAGGAGGTTAATATGGGTTGCTGAGGGTTATGGGGAGCAGACAGGAATGTGGAGTCGAGACGACAATCAGACCAGCCTTGATCTTATCGAATGGAGGAGCAGAATTGAGAGCAAATGGTCTACTCCTACTCCTGAAGAAGGGTCCAGACCCGAAATGTCAGCTTTCTTGCTCCTCTGATGCTGCCTGGCCTGCTGTGATCATCCAGTTCTACACCTTGTAATCTCTTACTCCTACTCCTAAGTCCTTTATTCCTAATAACATGCAGTAAAATTACATTTTGACTTCTTTAGTACTCAGAATTCTCTACTATAAACAGATGAATCTCATAGAATCTCATAGAATCCCTACAGTGTGGAAACAGGCCACTCGGCCCAAGAAGTCCACACTGCCCCTCCGAACAGCTTCCCACTCAGACTCATTCACCCACTCCTGCATTTCCCCATGTCTAACCCACACATCCCTGGACACTACGGGCAATTTAGCATGGCCAATCCACCTAGCCTGCACATCTTTGGACTGTGGTGCTCCGAGTGCCTGGTTATTAAGTTTGATTTGATTTATTATTGTCACATGTACCTGAGTACAATGAAAAGTTTTGTTTTGCATGAAGTCCTGGTTGATCATAGCACAGGGAGATCATAGGGTGATTGAACAGAGTGAGGAATACAAAGTTACGGTTGCAAAGAAGGTGCACAAAATGCAAGATTAACATTAAGTTTGAAATTTGAGAGATCCAATAAGAAATCTAATAACTGCGGGGAAGAAACTGTTCTTGAATCTGTTGGTATGTGTGTTTAATCTTTTGTATCTTCTGCCTGACGGAAGAGGTTGGAAGAGATCATAACGGGGGTGGGAGAGGACTTTGATGATGTTGGCTGCCTTTCTGCAGCAACAAGAAGTGTAGATGGAGTCAGTGGATGGAAGGTTGGATGGAAGGTGAGTATATTGGATACTACTGGATCGATGATATAGCGATAGTGTGGAATGGTGTGGCTAGGGTAGAATATCAGCAATGACCCATACTGAATGGCAGGTGCTAAGCTGGAGGGGCTGAAAGGCCTATTCATACACCTATTTCTGACATTCTTAACCTGTCACTCTTCCCTGCCAGCTCAATCATCTGCTGCTAGAGATAAGTTTTGTAATTTTTCTCCCCACTGTTCCTATGAGTCCCTTACATATTGGTGACCAACACTGGAACAGCAGGGCTTAATGATTGCTAGCTTACAACTGTTATTATTTCTTTTCAAGGTTGGTTGTAACCAGTGCCATTTTCAGCTTACAATTGGGAACTGGGCTGGTTTCCGTAAATGCAAGCATATCGGTGAGTTTCTCCACATTGTTTTTCTTCTAACTTGTTGAATAACAGCACTTCTTTACAGTATGCTTTTTATAATGAACTATCCAAGGTGAGAGTACATGCAAATTGGTGGACACTGAGCTGAGAACTGTGGGAATGTTTCTGAAGACACAGCCAGGAAGCAAGGTTCTTGCATGAGGTTTAATGGTGGGAAGTAGTAAAATGTATAATCTAAGGTGAAAATTCCAGAGCTGAGTTGGCTGAGGACTATAACACCATTTTTGCGGCCAGAGTTGAAGCAATAAGAGGGTGTGAGCTACGAAAAAGTTGAAGTAGATAGCAGATTTAAAACGGACCTATGGGGCAACTTTTTCACACAGAGAGTGGTGTGGATATGGAATGAGCTGCTGGAGGGATTAGTTGAGGCAGATACAATTACAACATTTCGAAGATATTTGGACAGGTACGTGGATAGGAAAGGTTTAGAGGGATATGGACCAAATTGCAGGCAAATGGAATTAGTTCAGTTTTAGATACATGGTTGGCATGGGTGAGTTGGACCAAATGGTCTGTTTCCATGCTGTATGACTCTATGACAGAGGTGGAATGGAATGAGGGAGTGTTTAAGGTTGAGGCAGTGACTTTGAAGTTGGTATAACGGAGGACAAGGAATTAGAAGTCAGTGAGAACATAAACAATGGTTGTATGGTATTTAACGTGGAAACCAATGAGAGCCAAACTGAGGAGAAAATATTGGAAGTATTCAGAACATGAGTAATACAGAAGTGAGGACACTATTGAGGAAAATGTTGCATGACACATTGCCTCATGTGCGATCGAGGTCTTGTCATTCCGTTGAGTAAATCAGCTCAACCATCAATTATGTCCCTTCTTGTTGAAATATTTATTATGGGAACAGTCCAGTGACATTGAGGCAGGGCTGATATCTCTAAGCTGGTTACAAGAGTTCGTTTTACACCCGTGCGCACAAGTTTAGTATTCAGGTACAGGAAGTGATCAAGAAACTTAATAGAACGCTATCCTTTATTACGAGAGGAATTGAACATAAAAGCAGGGATTTCATGCTTCAGTTAAAAAGGGATTGTTGAGATTACATCTTGAATACTGTGTGCAGTTTTGGTCTCCTTATTTAAGGGAGGAGGTGAATTTGTTGGAGATGGTTCAGAGGATGTTCACTGATACCTGGAATAAGTGTGTTGTTGCATGATTATAGGTTGAACAGGCCGTGCTTGTTCACAGTGGAGTTTGAAGTGTGAGGGCTGATTTAGTTGAAATGCATAAGATACTGAATTGTCTGTCCAAGGTGGACAGGACGAGAATGTTTATTGTCGTGGGGGAATCCAGAATGAAAGGGCACTGTTTTAAAACTAGGGGTCGCCCCTTTACTTCAGAAATGAGAGAAAACTTTTTGTGCGATTTTGCAGTCCTCTGCCTCAAAGGTTTATTGAATATTTTTAAGGCAGTGGTAGATACATTCTTTTTAGGACAGAGAATCTGAGGTATCTGGGGTGTAGGGGGATAGGAGCGTTGAATTCTCAATGCAGACAGATCAGCCATGATCTTATTGAATGGTGGAGCAGTCTTAAAGAGTGAATGGCTCTACTGCTATTCCTAACTCATATCTTTGTTTCAAAAAAATTTTGTGGGTAGTGAATTTTCAATCTGCCGGTGAACTTTATAAACTATGCATCCTGACTGCCATGTATAGTCAGTTTAATAGCCTTGATGGAGTTGAGTACATCTGGTTGCCTCTGCAGAAACCGACTGAATGAATAAATAAAAGGAAATATAGACAACTGTAATTTAAACTCATGGTGCATCTCCAATAACAATTGTATGGTTGAAACTTCAACTGCTGATGTGTCTCGTGAGCTAAGGCAGATGAAGGTGATTTTATTTGGAGAATGATTTGTTTTTGTAGGTTTGTTTTTAAATAGAAGATTTAAAGGTTTGTTCAACTACCCTCAACTTTGTAAGTATTGTGTGTTAAACTCTGGGGACTTTTCATTTCCAGGTCAAATATGTCGAAGTGAGAGGCTTCCGGACTCTGTGAACCCAATCTTTTAAAAATGGCCACCTGCACTCTCTGTTTTCATTCCAGTTGGGGGAGGAGAGGGGTGTGTGGTCAGGCTGTCATGGAAATTATGCCAGGCAATCTGGAGAGTTCCAAGGAGGTTACTGTATCCCAGCATGGCTGGGCAGAAAGCCTGGCTCGAAACTTTGGCATTGTGTCCAAAGATTAAATATTGAAACAAACAGTAAAACATGCTTCCAACTCTCACCCCCAAGTCCTATCCATGCCAACCTATGTCACCTAAAGCTTTTTGCCCACCTCCCATGACTTATCCTCAAGGCTGCTCCTACTCCCATGGCACCCGATGTACCCTTCTGCTCATACCCCATGGCTCCTTAAACCCATGCCAACTTGGTGCCTAATGCCATGCTTTCCCCTTCACCTAACATGCCAGCTCACCATGTATTCACAGGTCCCATGTATAAATTAAAGATTGTATTACTTAAAGTTCCGCATTACAAAACTTACTGCGTTGGAAATAGCACTGTAATTCACCAAAATGCATTTTTGACAGATCTTGACAGCTGTGACATTTTGTTACAGATCCTGACACGTTTTATGCGCCTTGACACTCCTTAACCCTCCTTGACCTGCCTTGATGCCCCTTGACGCATGTTGACAGATTGTAACATGTTTGGACAGATCTGACACTTTGCTCACAGGTTTGACTATTCCAAATGATGTGTGCACCTTTTATGCACAATATTTTCTACAAATAGTAATCCCAAAGTGTACCTGAAACCCCCACCTCCCCCACAAAGCATACATGACAGCCCAGGCCCCCACTTAAGATGTCCTGGGATTGCATTAATGGCAGATCTCCAACGGTACTCTGGTTATCCAAAGCAAATGCATTAAAAACAAGCTTGCTCTTACCTGATCTGCTCTCTGCACTCTGTGTTTCACACTGAATTATAGAGATTCCAAAGTCTGATTTCAATGGAAGCATCTGGTTATTTGCATACACCACGCCAATTAACCCACACCACCCCACCCCTGCAAAATTGGGAAACCTCAGCTTCAGGGGCCTGACACAGAATTTCCTGTCTTCTGCCAATTTCACTGCAATGGAGAAGCTGTCTGTTGTGGCGATGATCTAGACCAGAGAAAGAGGGAGAAGACTAGGAGAAATGGGAGGATGAAGAAAAGGGAGGAGAGGGTAGGTGGATAAAGGAGGGGTGGAGGGGATTTGGGGGAAGATTCAGAAAGGTGGGATGAAATGAAAGGAGGAATTGAGAAGGAAATGAAAGAAGAAGAGCACTGACATTTACAGATAAGGAGGGGAAGGTTATTCAAAGGAGATGGGTCGCTAGAGAAGGAGGGCTTGCAGTGAAGGCTGAGCAGGAAGGAGATGTAGGAGAGGGTTCTGAATGGAGGAGGATAGAGTGGCAGGTTGAGAGAGAATGAAGGAAAGTCCAGTCCAGGACTATGTGTACAGAAGTTCATCACAAACTCCAAATATGCCATTTAAATATATTGGTGCTCTCTGTAAAATGCTTGTAAACATGAGAGAAATTTAAACTGACATTGTGGAGGGATTACGAGCTCATAGCCTGAAGCAACTATTGGGAAATCTCAAGACAGAAACAGCTGGGAAAAGGATAATCATTGGGACCAGGTGGTATAAAAAGGCAGGAGGTGTTTGGAGGAAATGAAGGCTTAAGTGGGCGGGATGGTGCTAACCCCAAGGAATGTGGACAGAACATGCTGGAATACAGAAAGTGAAAGATCCAAAGGACAGCACACCGTCCTCTTAAGGTATAAACCAGGTTCACAGTGGTTCATAGTAATGGGGTCAGAATTTGGGAGAGGCCTAATGTGTGGGAAAGAAAACAGGTCCTGGGAGTTCAGCCGAACGGGCTGAGAAACTAAATACTCAAATCAGTTAGTTATATTCCAGAGAACTCATAGCGCAACTCAATTCCTGGGAGATCCAGGAGATTGAAGCTTAACTGCACCATAAGTGAGCAAGAGGTGTGATGTCATGGCCCACCATAAGAAAGGGTGTAATTATCACAGAACATTCATATTATGAATGAAGACATTTGTGATGTAAAAGTATCATTATAGACAATCACGGGAAACAAATACTTTTTATAGATTACATTTTTAATGTACAAATAAAGGCCCTGACAAACTTTTCGGGAGAAAATCGAGTTGTCGCTGTCCTGTTTATCAGTTGAATTGCCTTTTTTTAACTTTTGTTTTTAAAGTTTCCTTTTTCTTTTATTCAAAATTCTTAGCCTATCACAGAATCCAAGGCTTGCACTCATTTTTTTGCATCTACTTCAGCTGTGAACTCAGTTTAGACTATGAGATAACAAGGTGTAGAGCTGGATGAACACAGCAGGACAAGCAGCATCAGAGGAGCAGGAAAGCTGACGTTTCGGGCCTAGGCCCTTCTTCAGAAAATCTCAGTTTAGACTATGTTGTCTGAGCTTGTGCACTGTACCTAATTGCATAGGATGCACCAGTGTCACTCAGGCAGTACTAAAGAAATACTTGTCTTTATCTTCAGGCAGTTTCTGCTCAGTTATTGCTCAAAATTATTTTAACAAAAGGTATTGGACAAAATCTGTAATCTCTAATGTGGCAAAGGTTAGGCTAAATGTTTTCAATCTGGAGATGCTGTATGTATGAGATTTTTATTTTAAAAAGGTCCCATCAATCACTTATGGAATATTGCATTCAATTCTGGTCTCCCCTGCTAAACAAAAGATGTTGTGAAACTTGAAAGGGTTCAGAAGAGATTTACAAGGATGTTGCCAGGATTTGAGGGTTCAAGCTGTAGGGAGAGGCTGAATAGGCTGGGGCTATTTTCCTTGGAGTGTCGGAGGCTCAGGGGTGACCTTGTAGAAGTTTATAAAATCATGAGGGGCATGGATAGGATGAACAGTCAAAGTCTTTTCCCCAGGGTAGGGGAGTCCAA